ACAAACAGCAACTCGTAAACCTAATGTTCTTGAACAAACAGCAACTCGTGAACCTAACGCTCTTGAACAAACAGCAATTCAAGAATCTAATGCTCTTGAACAAACATCAATTCAAGAACCTAACGCTCTTGAACAAACAGCAATTCAAGAACCTAATGCTCTTGAACAAACAGCACCTCGAGAACCTAATGCTCTTGAGCAAACACCAATCATAGAATTTAATATTTCTGAACAAGAAATAGGTGCCTTTGACAGACCAGCAGCTCAAGAAGTTAGTGTTTCCGAAAACTCAACCATGTTAGAAATTGAAGATCACAATAATGATGACTATGGTGGCTACAACAGCTATTATCGTAGCAGTAGTATACATAGCAGTAGTATACGTAGCAGTAGTACACGTAGCAGCAATATACGTAACAGTAGTACACAACATTAATATATAGTTAAGATATATTTAATTTAATATAAATCAAAAAAAAAGATTTTTAGTTTTTTGGTTTTTTTTTTTTTTTTTTTTGATGTGTAAATGAAATAGAAAGACTAATTATTTTAGCCAACTATTAATTAATTCGTAATAAATATTGATGTTCTAATATTATAAAAAATTTTTTTACAATTTCACTTTTAAATGGCATAGTACAGTCAGACCTCCCTAAATGCATATTCTCTAAATGCATGGTCTTGTTTGGCCCCAACTCATATAACACTTATAGATTTTTACCTCTCTAAATGCAAGGTTTTTTGGCCACCCGAGGCTATGCATTTAGAGAGGTCTGACTGTAAATCCATTATAGATAGAATGTGGCATTTTCCAAGAAAAATTTTTTTGTACTAAGTTAATTATTCTTGTCAGCTAATTAAAAATTGTAGAACTCATCTTTGCAGTTCTAATAGCGATTAAATTATTCAAATCGGCCCAGTGAATGCCAAGATATCTTTAAAAAACATGTTAATGGCTATATAAAATCTCTATATTGTTTATATAGAGATTTTTATAACTGTTGACATTCTAAAGATATCTCAACATCCACTAGGTCGACTTGAATGATTTAATCACCATTAGAACCACAAATATGAGCTTTACAATTATCAATTAATCGACAAGGATAATTAAAATGTACTGTAATTGTATCGGAATGGCACAGGTTTCGGTGGCACAGATTAAACCCGGAATTTTGTACGTAAGAGGCTCGAAGTGTCCCAGATTTTTGGCTCGTGTTGGATCGTATACTAGTGCCAATTGGACCGTTAATGACAGGTTTTGCAACACTTTACTAGTCTAATTGGTACGGGGTTTGGTACGAACGTACGTAAATTCATGTACCATCATAATAAACAAATATACATATTAAACCATAATTTACTTCAATTATCATCAATATTAAAGTAATTGCATATGTG